GCGCGGGCGGCACGTGGTGGCGCCGCTGGCAGCCCCGTGTGTGGGCGCTCTTCGAGGACCCCTACTCGTCGCGGGCCGCCAGGGTGAGCGCGCTCTCGGAGCCCCCATCCCTCCCCCATTTCCTCCAGATCCCCGCCCCTCAGGAGTGCCCCATCCTAACCCTCACAATCCCTTGGCCCGTCCCAGCCCCTCCTGGCCTTCCTGGTCTCTGGGCCTCCCAGGCTCTTCTAGAGAAGAAGCCTCTTTCTCCAACCCCGAGTCTCCTGTACTTTTCTGAACACACCCCCTCTCCCTGCCATCCTCAGATCCTCAGAAGACGCTTCCGCAACCTTCAGAATCCCCCAGATCCCTCCAAACCCCACCCGGCTTCCCTAGGCTACCCAACACTCTTAGAAACTTCTGCCCCGACTGTGAATCTCCTGGGCTTTTCTGAACAACCTCACTACCCCCATTCCTGGACTCCTCTGAGACCCTCAGAAGAACTTTCTCCAGTCCCGAGTCTTCTGAGCCCCTGTGAATCCTTTTCACCTCTCTTGGTTACCCCTCAGATCCCTAGAGAACCCCTCTGCAACCCTCAGTTTCTTGGACCATCCCCAGACCCTCAGAAGACCTCCCTTCTTAACCTTCAGCGTCCGAGACCCTGTGAACACTGTCCCCTCCTTTCCCTGACCCCCTGCAGCTCCTCGGAAGCCCCCTCTGCAACCCTCAGTCCCTTGGGTTCTCCCAACACCTCCCTGATTCTTTCTCCCTATGCCTCTCTCCCTGCACCTCCCCCTCTCTCCAAGTTTGAGTCTTCTGGCTATTTTTGAACCCCACTTCTGCTCTTAAAGTCTTAGAAGACTCCGCCTCAATCTCAGAGCCTCCTGGACCCCTGTGAATCCCCAAACCACTTGCTCTGGCTAGCACACTTTCCCCCTCCCCCTACTGCAACACGGAGTCTTGGGGAGCCTTCCCTCCTGGGACCCTATCCAGTCCCCTCTGTGTCTCTGTGTTCACATAGCTTCCTGCATCTTCCACGCCAACTCCCATCCCAAGGACTTTCCCTATAAAGCTCCAGACTTCCCCCAAGCCTTTCACACTCCTCCTCAGTGTCTCCAGAAGAGTCTTGAGCCCCCATAATATGTCTTTCCTCTCCAGAAGCTCCCATATGCCTTCTTCTTCATCCACAGATTCTCCCAGCTTCTTCTCCCTTCCCACTCTTTATCTCTGGGATCCCCCATCCAGAGCCTCCCAGTCCTTTTCCAAGTCAATCAACTGACTTTTCCTCCTGTTCCAGAACTTTAATGAACCTCAGTCTTTGGGACTCCTCCCCCCCCCACCCCCCATTTATCTATCCCAAAACTTCCTTCCCAAAGTAGCTTCCAATTCTTTCCACTCTGCCTTGGTATCTTTCCACTGGCCCCTACCCCACCCTGCTCACTCCCTCTTTCCCAAGCTCCCCGCCCTCCCACCATCCAAACCTACCCCCAAAGTGAACCAGAGCGCACACACTCTAGCCTTATCTCCCTTGAAATGCCAGATTTTCCCCAAAGCTCCCTTCATCTTCCCCCCAAAACTTCCTTCAAACATCTCTAACTTCCTAGGTTAAATAGCTACCCTCCCCCTTTGTTCTCCCTTGAACCTCTTCCTCCTACTAACTTCCTCCCTGTGTTGAAAGAGAGGGGGACAGTTCAAAATGGGGGATCAGAAAGGAGGGGAAAGAGGAACAACTCCGGGCCCCCCCCCCCAGCCTCCCGGGGACCCAAACACCCGGAGGAACCGGTCCGCCCCCCTCCCCCCACCGTGCCGTGTCCTGGGCCGGGAAGGACGCGGAGCCGCAGTGCCGCATTCGCGCCAGGGGAGGGAGCGAAGGGGGGCGGGGAGCCCAGAGGCACCGCATAAAGTTTGGTCCCAGGAAGCGCTGAGTTGGCGAGATTTGGGGCTGGGTGGGGGGAGGTGGGGAGGACGAGGTTCCGAAGGGACTTGGCCCTAAATGCCCCCTCAGGCCTCTGAGTGGCCCCCTCCCCCATGGCCTGGGGCGCCCTTCTCTCGTAACCCCATTGAAGGGTGCTGAGGTGAGAAGAGAGGTTCGGGACAGTTACGGGGGAGAGGGGCTTGTCACTCACTTACTCCACAAATGGTTTTGAGTGTCAGCTTGCCAAGTACTTTCCAGCCTACAAGTGAGAGAGCTTGACAGAGTTGGAGTTGCCAGTGCAACGTGGAGAGCATGGCCCTACCTCATCCTCGCTCCCTTCCCTGTAATTTTTCCTTTCCTTCTTACAGGGACTCCTTGCCCTCCTGCCCCTTCTGCTTTTGAATCACCTCGGGGCAAGGGGTTAAACCGGTCCCGACGCTGTCCAGCTCTACGGCTGTGCACTGCGACGGGTGTGCCCATCTTTCCTTCCTTGCCCTGGGAGGGAAGGAGTTAAACTCCTGGCCCGCGGCCTCCCGAGGTGAAGCGGCGGCACTGCGGCTGCGCCCTCCTTGCTCTGCTCCGGCCCGGAAGGGGTTAAGAACGCTCTCAGCCGCGGAGGCTGCGCACTGCGGCGGGGGAGCTGGCCGCGGTGCTGGCCGCCGCGCGCCCCGCCC